CTTTCAGTATTTTAGGAGATGTGACTCAAAAGTTTTCTGTGATGTGTTGAATGATTTTAAGACCTAGTACTTTTACAAAGTACTAAATAAAAACGTCACATTTCTTGTTCTGGAGTTTCCTTTGCAAGAAGCAAAAAGGAAAAATATTTTTTTCCTTCCTCCGCCTCCATGAGAAATGAAAGTAACAATTAAAGTTAAACAACCTGTGCAGAAATCTGTGACAGTATAATGTTCCATGAGATGCCAACTGCTATTCTTGTCTGGAACTTTGGAAGGATTCAAGACTTTAATTTAGGAAAAAAATTGGGAAGAAATTTAGAGTTCTTTCATAGATTTTTTTAATATGTAATTTCACCTTTAAAAGTGGCAGACGCTGAAACTCTGCACCTTCAAAAAGTCATAAAATGTCACCGTTCAGTTTAAAATGAGCTGAAGTGGTGGTGTGTGAGCTTAGACCGGAGACCTGAAATTCAAGCTCAGCGTTCCCCCCCACCCCGCTGTGTTTTTTTCCTTTCTTGCTAAAACTGCCAACAAGCTAAAATATGGTGATTTCTTTGAAGACATGCTTTCAAACTGGTTTTTGTTTGTTCTGTAACATTGCAACCTTCATAAGTGAAATGTAAATATTCCCGTGCTACTTCTTACCTGCAAAGAAACTTTGGCTTAGGGAGAAGGGAATTTTTATAGTGCATTATTGAATGCATGAGCTGTGTTAGATATAGAGAGACTGCAAGCCACTTTCTGTAAAGAAGCTTATGTCAGAATAAGCTACATCTAGAATCTGGTGCAGGCCAACAGTGCTCCCAGGAAAGTTGGTGCACTCTAAAATTCCTCTTGCAATTAATCAAAAGAAGTGCTCTGTCACCATTCACAAAACTGTTCAGTTTCTGTGCCTGTATAGATTATGGATGTGTTTTAGTAAGTTCTCAGCTGTAATGGTAAAACTGAGTAACAATTTTAGATGAAGGTTCTATATTCATGTGATTGAACAGTGAGAGTTATTTCTTAAAATGGCTGCAGCACTGACAGAAGGCACATATAATAAATGCCTACTTTACATTGTGTTTGAGCAAAAGTGCTGTGGAAAAACTTTAGTGTTGGCTGTAATCTGGAAGTTCTGTAATTCTACTGTTAGTACTTACAGATGGATCTTAGCTGATTTGAGGAAAAGTATCTGTGAAGTTTTGGGGGGAATAACGTTTTCCACAGCAGGGATGCTGAAAATCTCAGGAACAGAACCAGAACCTGGGCTTTGCTGAGCAAGGAAGTTCACGGAGTCGATAAAGTAATTTTGGCAGTATTACTTATCCAAGAAAAATTCACTTTACCAGGTGTTTTTAAAGAGTGAAGGAAATTATCTGCATACTGTAAATTTGATTCTTAATGATTTGATGGAGGCGTTTGTGTAACACTTACATTAACAAACAAGACCACTGTTAAAAGAAGCTGTAGGACAGTAACAGGAGGTTTATTTTAATGTTGAAGCTGCTTCCAGCCTTCTGTTCCTTCCGTTAGCAAGGTCCATGGAGAGTTGTACTGGGCCTGTTGAAGTGGTGTCTGATTGAAGACAGCATCTGTAAATGTATCTATCTATAAATGTATCTACACATTTAACACCTAAGTGTATGACTTGTACAACTGTTCTGGAGTGGCTAAGTCAGTCTTTAAATGGATGAGTTACTCCTGCACTGACACATTTTAAGGAATAATTTTGTTAAACTAGCTATGTCTGCAAGGAAAACAGTGAGGCAAACTAAAATCTTGTATAAAATGTTGCCAAACCAGCAAAATCTTGTATAAATTGTATGCAGAAGAGACAGGGGTGCTTCACAGGCAAATGGTGATAACACTTGTTACAATTTAGTCAAATGCTCAGGTTTATTTTTTAGCTGAGTATATGCCCAAGGGTTTTGTTGAGCTAAAGATTAAAAGGAAAACAACGTACAGAATTGCTAAGTAGGTATTCTATCTGTTCTCATACAGATCAGTTAAATACTTTGGGTTGATGGTTTGTAGGTCTATTTATGGATGAGGTGAAACTAAAAATAAAATTTATTGAGGGACGGTTCTATTGTGCTCCAAGCAAGAAACAGGGAAGTTTTCTAAGACATGCTGCTTTCTGTAACTGATAGTAGTAGGCAGTTTGATTATACACCTAGATTTCCACTAAGATGGGTCAGACTGTGGACTTGGTTCTGAATTAAGAGGTAGAGTAACAGTACTAAACTTGAGTAGAGACAACTATTAAGAAGAAAAGTGTAATTTGCATATAAAATTGACAAATTAAACTTTAAAAAAAATACTAAAGAAGAAAGGAATTAAAAATATATATAAATAATTATTTAGCCACAGGTTTGTAAATGGATTGTAATTAAAAAATATTGAGAGAGAAGGGCAAGTCTATTAATGTCCTTGCTGTGTCCACACAAAAACAAACAAACAAAAAAACCAAACAACACTCCCCCAAATTAGTGTGGATTGCACTCTCATTTAAGAAAGCTTTTGGCTACCTGGCTGAAGCTTGGACATAGGATTTTTCATGTATTGTGCCTCTGCTCTGTTTGTAAAAACTGCTGTTGACTTGGAATGATTTATAATGCATTCTCCACTTCCTATCTAGTGGTAAAATCAGTAGTACTCTTAAAGTAAGAAGGCCATTTGGACATTTAGATACATACTGTGCGTGATCTGAATGCTGTGGATAAAAATAACAGTGTAATGGTGTGAGTGGATCAGCACAGTGTTGTCATTTGCTTGAAAATGTGATGTAGTACTTCCAAAGCTTCTAATTGGGATATATATAATTTAATTAGCAAATGAGGTAAAACTGGTGTCTTACTGTGTGCAAATAAAGACTTCCTTGATACACAATTACTGAATACTCCAGAATTTGCTATTAGTTTTCTTTTTTTTTTTTTTTTTTTTTTTT